GGGGGGGGGGTTGGATGGAGTTTTTGTAGTTTTTAAAATTTTTGTAGTTTTTAAAACAAGTGGATCTGGTGTGGGACTCATTGTTGTGACTGTTGGTAGAAGTTCTGTTGTACACCCAACATTACCCATGCAACCTTACATGACACAGCCCGCAACTAGCATGTCTGGCCGAAAAGTCGTAGCTTTGCAACAGCTAATCAATTACGCACCCCATGTGTTTGTAAATAAATATGACACAACCACAAGGGCCTGCAAATAATATATATATTAATATAGGCGGAAGCTGCTTCTTGTACAGGGTGCGAGTTCACAACCCGTACCGAACACTTATAGCAATGGGGTGAGTGGGGCTTTTGGTAGTTTTTTATACAAGTGGGTCCACTTGGTGTGAATGTTTCACAGAGCCCCTGTAAACGCAGCAAAATTCTGTAGCCCTCTTTGATTCTCATTTGTTGAAAAAAAAATATTTTTAAATAATATTTTGACATCATTTCAATTACATATTCTTCAATAAAGTAATATTACACGCAAATTCAAAATTTTTCCATATTTTTTAACCACACATTTTTCGTCAATATACTATTTAAAAATTTATTTTTATCATAAAAATGGGACTCAAACAAGGGCTATATATATTCACAGAGAGAGAGAGAGAGAGGATCTAATGAACTTGGTTTTACGACAAGCAAAAGCAGAAGGGAGATGTAAAGAAACTTTGCTGTAGTTTCCATGATTGGCAACTTCTCTTTCTCCATGCAAAGCTATTGGTAATAATAATAATAATAACAATAATAATCCCTAATCAATAAATATGCAAACACACGAGCACTGAAAAACATGAACAAAATTTAGAAAATAAAATATATTCTATACAATTTAGCACTTGAGACAACCCTGCTGGACAGCCAGGGCGTGAAGTTCAGGGTCAAAAACAGGGGTGCCATTTGGAGAGACGGCTGTGCCCCAATAATAATAATAATCCCTAATCAATTAATGCAAACACATGAGCAGTGAAATACATGAACAAAATTTAGAAAATAAAATATATTCTATACAAATCTAGCACTTGAGACAACCCTGCTGGACCCTGGAATCAACCCTGTCCAAACAGGTTAATTCTACTTGAGAACCACATGTTCAAGAAATTAATACACATTTTCTTGAAAATTTCAATTTTTACCTTGATGACACAGAGTTCAAAGCTCTAGCAAAACCATTCATGGCACCATAGCCCTTTGAACTGAATCCTAAACAGCCCAACAAACCTTGTCTATAAGGCAAAAATGTCTTCTTCTTCATCTCCTCTGCTTGTGCCCTATTTGCAGTGTAAAGCAATTCATGAGGAGATGGTGGCACCCTTCTTTTACCAATCCCATTTACTGCCCTGTTTTTCACCTCTTTTGGAGCTTTTTTTGTGGCTCCGGTGTTGAAATTTACTACTTCTGGTGTTGAATTTGCTGCATCTTTAGGTTTCTCAGTTGATGGGTTTTGGGGGTTGGGAATGGGCTTCTCCATTTTCTTATCTTTGACAGGTGAAAATGATAAGGAACCCCAAAATTTATGCCCGTTGTTTCTACCTTCACTTTTGCTCCTATACAAGAACTCCTTCAAGAAAACCCACCTCCTCGAGCTCCTCCCAATTGATGAAGACCTCGATGAAGATCCAGATTCACACGTCGTCGTATCATTCGATCCCGCTGGATTTTCTGTGTTCTTACACACTTCATTTTCTCTCTCCATCTCATCGTCATGCTGTGCATGGTCATTTTCTTGATCTAGAAACGACGTCGTCCTCAAAGGGGACATAGATCTAGTCCTCCTCCTTAATGATCCGGTCCGCAATTTCGATTCCCTTCCGCGAACAAATTTCTCCTCAGAAAATGAAGAATCGTCACGCTCGGATTGTTCAATCTCATCAGATTCATCAACGTCAATCAAAGGGGCCAAAACCTGGGGCCTCCGGAGATGGCTGGAAAGCTTCATGGGTCGGATCTGGCCATTCAGGAACAATTCATCGGCGGAGGTCATGGACCCCGGCGGCGCGCCATTGTCGGCGAGCGGAGCCGAGAAATCAAACTCAAACGAACATGCCGCCGTCGACGACTCAACCCCATACGAAGAAATGCTGTTACTGGAAAGCACAAAATGCATAGGACTAGCTGGGGCGCTAAAGTAGAACCCTCCAAGGGGTGTACCGCGGCCGGGACTAGACGGTGCACTAACATAAGGCGTGGAACAACAACTATCAATGTCATCGGAAAATTCTAGAGAGGTGGCGGCGGAGGTGATGGTAAGGGGGTCCGGCGAGGCGGCCGCGGAGGTGGTAAAGGGATTTTCTAGGTCTTCTTCCATAATTTTTTGTGGAGAACGAAGGGACAGTGGTGTAGTGAGAATTGTGCAAACAATGGTGGAAAAGGTGGATATCCGTGCTTGCTCTATAGAAATGGGATGTGAAGATGGAGATGGAGATTTATATTGTCTATATGCCACTGTTGTCTTTTAATTGTATGTCTGGAGAGTAGGTGTCGAGTCGTGGTCGAATTGATAGTAACAAATATAAATAATAAAAGAACTTTCCGATGAATTGGCTGGTTCAGTATTAATTGGATCGATTTTCAATTTTTATTTTTTTCAATTGAGTTGGCCATTCAATCTAATTTGGAAAATATTGCTAAAAATACGATGTTTTGGAGTTGTTTATAAATGGTTTAAACTATGAATGAACATATATATAAGTGATGATTACGTAGATTGTATTTGTGAGTTTCACAAAATACATGAATAAGCGTGGACATTGTTCCTTTTAATTATGATTCAAAGATATTCGAATTGAATCATAAACTAATATTTTTTCTTTTTTTTTTTTAAGATATGGAACCAAATAAGAATTGAATCATTCAGTTCTCGTTTGATTTGGTTTGATTTGATTCTGATTCCATTATTTATATTTTTCAAACAATAAATACAAATTAAAATCCATTAATATATTCATAAATTAGTAATATATGTCTAAATAAAATAAAATAAACTTCAACTATTCAGCAAATTCAACTTCAAATTATCAATCATCAAATGAAATATTGTGTAATAAAAATTCATTCACGAAAGTCTAAACTAACATATAAAATATAATCATAATTTGAATACACAAACATCAAGTTCCATCCCCATAAAAAATATTGTCTAATAACAATGATTCAATAACATAGACGAAGTAAGCCACTAATAAAAATTGAATTATTTGATGTGGTTCACTAATTTGTAAAAAATATATATATTTGAAAAATTAATATTTTTTTTAATTATTGATTTTAAGATCTAAAATCATTAAATTTTTTTTAGAACTGAATCAAACCGCCCTGTTTGGTTTGTTCTGGTTTGGTTTGATTGTTTTATCAACCCCCATAAGTGAACAAAAAGTGATTTGATCGATTGTTACTCGTCTGAATTCCATTATATTTTTTATGATTAAAATTAAAATAAAAATTAATTTTAATCAAATATTTGCCATTGCTAATTATGTATCATTCACACATTCATGGGATTTATTACTTCTTTTCATTATAATCTCATTTTATTCAACAAGGACTAAGATCAAATTCCTCACCATTCATTGAAATAATTAATTAACTTAACCTTTTCCACTTAGAACAGAGGTCTCGACCTTTTCACGTATTTGTAAAATTATACACGTTAGGTTTTGAACAAAGGGAGTCAATAGACAAAAATTTAAATAATTAAAATGTGTTTTCATATTTAAATTTTAAAAAGTGTAAATATTTAAAAACATGTTTTATTTAAACAGTATAGAAAAAATAATTGGACGTAATAGTCGGTATAAGAGTAGCTTGCACGGTTTGTTCACCCAAGCATGACTCATGCCTTTCGTACCATGCTTGTATCATGTCAACTGAAGGTAAGGTGCAAAACTTAAACTTCTAGAACAAAATGACAAATTTAGAGAGAGAATATAAAAGAAATGATGAAAATTATGATGGTTAATTTCATCTATCTATTCATATATATTAAATAATTTCACTGAAAATTGGAAGGTAATTTCAATGTCACATAAACATGTGATTATCATTAGTTCATAGTGAATAACATTAGTTTTTCTTCCTTTAAAGTTTTTATTTTTTATTGTTTGAAAAATGATGTTGAACGATGTTTTCTTATTAGAAATTGTGATAGTATACTGTGAATGGGCGAAGAACGATTATAAATAATAATCATCATCTCTCTCCTCTTCGAAAGAGATCGTCCATATTTGTCTACAAGTAAAACTATAGAGACTCGTGTGTTCTTTGATGATTGCTTTCACGATCCATGACAAAAGAAAATAATTCATGTTGCGTGATCTAGTCATTCTCCTCGTCATTATACGCTATGTAAAATAACTTGCACGAACTCTTTTTCAATCGTGTCATTACACCGTCGCTAAGTGAATTGTGTTACAAACAAATGAAATTACGATTAATATGTTAATATGTTGTGTGATAAAAGACTGGTAATGAAATTATGATGTTTAACAAAACCAAGTTGTTTGAAAGGTAGACTTGGGACAAAATTATACTTCTAAAGCAAGAGAAGAGTCATTCAAGAGTACTTGCAACCCATTGGGAGTTTCTTTGCCCTACTTTTGGTACAAATTTTAATGATATATTGTTTTAGAGTGACCAATTACTCTTTTTACGTTTTCACTTATTTTCTTCTTTGTTTTCATTCGATATTGTTCAGTTCGACATATCAAATATAACATTATTTTTAATATGAAAACGTTTAAATTTGCTAATGGCTTGGAAGTTATTTGTTCAGCGCGAAATTTTATGAGTTTTTTTTTTCTTTGTTAGTTATAATGACATTTGGTTTTCTTTTTGCATTTACTCGTATGACTATACCTATTTGTTACCCTAACAATGCATGGTGCGAATAAAGGGCATTGCCATGAGCCTAAGGATCATATAGGAGTGACGAGCACAAGTGACCATTTGCAATCGAGACACTCGGAAGATATGTCAAGAAAGCTTGACAAAGACAACTTGGACATTAAAATTTTAAAATATCGATGATTTGTACATCTAAATAGCTAAATATATCGATATTGCAAATGCATTCCAACAATTTCATCAATAAACTATATAGAGTTAAACATCCAACCTATTATGAGTAAAATTCGAGAAGAAAATGTTAAATTAAATAGAACTTGACGTTCCGCACTAATAAAGAAAGACGGGGTAGTCACACAATATTTTCTACCAATAAAGCAACTGCATTTACTAAGTTATGGATGGCAAAATTCAGAAGCAAAGATTCAAAGTTAAGATTTAGATACAAATTTTCCCATAAAAAGACGAACATAAATTGGCAAGGCAATAAAAGAAGTCAAAAGGTGAAGCTTAAAGAAGATAAAGGGATCTAAATGGGATTATGAAAAAGTGCAATTGCAGGTTAGCACGTTTTCATGCACCTGTTTTTCTCTTGACTTTTTTACCTTGCAACCAATAATATTTACTTTAAGAAAGAAAAAAAAAAATTATCACCAAGTTGAGACAAAAATATTTTATGGGTTTTTATTTTATTGGTGTTGGAACACCAGAAGAGGAATGCTCTGCATAGGATTCTGATTTCTGAATTTTTTGGGCAGTTAAAACAAGGCAAATGGGCAACTTTAATTATTTAATAATTAATCATTTCTGGAATAAAACGCCCACATGATTATCTAATTAATTAATAATTAATCAGAATAAAGAACAGTACTAATCTTTGAACATTACAGTTGGAGAATACAACAGAATCTTTTCAGTTTTCCTCTAATCAAGAATTTATTGAAACACAAAAACAATATCAAAAGAATAAGTGAGTTTCCAGACTTAATATCACATATTTCTGAAAAGTACGTCTTCTTCCTTTTATGCTTAAACGTACTTGAATTTGCATTTCGTGTTGCTTGAGTAGGGGTGGGCACGATCCAATACTAAAGAGAATTGAATCGAATCAAGAATTACTTGAAAATGAAACAATTAGATAACTTTAATTATTGAATCGAATCAGAACTATACCATCTATTCGACTCAATTCCTTACCAAAATTAAAATTTTCAGTTTTCTCATAATTTCAATGACTATTTTTATTCTCTTAATCTTTGAAACAATGTAACAATTTAACAAATGACAGTTACCACCTTAATACAAAATGACAAATGTAGTCCAAATTTAAAAATATAAACAAATTATCTAATAAATCATTCACCAGCACTATCTATTATCTTCCTCGGGGTTTAGGTAACTCGTAAAACAGTCACGTTTAGTCGCATGATAAATTAAACTTTGCAATTTGATTCATCCAATATATTATCAAGTGTACCAGTGTCACTATTTCAAATTCTTAGTCTTTGCGGTTAAGACAACCTTTCATGGTGATATATTCAACCCTACAACCCTGTAAGAACAATGTACTTTTATTCACTAGTGTAAAACTTGGCCAGTGCTTATGAGCAAGAGTTTATGTGACAGTAGAGTTACTACCACGTTCTCCCATAAAGTTACAATACATTCTGATTCATTGGAAAATATGACATTGATCTTAGCCCTTCGTTTGACCCCCATTATTTGAAAATTTAATGGTTGAAATAGTATTTTTTTTAAACGTGTGGTTAAAAAAAGTGTTGTGATTACGTGTAATATTTATTTTATTAGAGAATGTATGATTGATAAGAAGAAAGAAAAAAATAAATTATAATTTTAATGAAGACCAAATGGGCAGCTTATTGTCATATAAATTATGGTTTGTAAGTATTATTTTCAAATAATATTATTAGTCCTAAAAATATAAATTTTGCAAAGGCATTATAATTAGTGGCGAATTTTTAGCCTTTAATGACATGTTAAACAGTAAATAGTTCTATTGAATGCTTAAATACCAAAATAAAGTAAATTAAATTCTATATGGATAACATTAACAACAAACCACGTGTTTTATTTTTAATGCTTATATTTACAAGAATAATCCAGAATTACTATAAATAAAGTAATTTAAATTCTATATTGACGTGCTTTTCTATTTTTTTTTCTAGTTAAATCAAATATAATTTTTTTTAATTGTAATAAATAATAGAGGGTAAAATTTTAATATTCAACTATACTCGTAAAGTTTCTCACTTCATAACGAATTATAGAAAATTACGTCATTTATCTATATATCAAATCTTATTTAATAAATAATTATATAAATTCTAACGTAAAATTGAGAAAAAAAAATTCGAGCATTATATTGCACTTCATAAACATCGTATTAGGTGATATGTCATTCATTACGAGAAATGCCACCTCCCTAAGAAAAAGGAAAAAATTAAACCTTCGCGACAAGGGAGAAATGGTTGGTGACAATTGTGAATAAATATTATTTGCAATCAGGCTATAGTGCTAGAATCATTAACGTAATGTTACATGGCGATCTACCATTAAACTGTTTAAAAGACAATCATCTATCCATCAAATCATTTTTCATCACATACGATTTTGTCAACCTTTGTCATAATTTTTTTGGAAAAAGAACTTGATCCAAATACCG